AAAGTGTATAGTAGCATGCACGTGCGTAATGAGTAAGGATAATTTACAATACAATCAAGGTTACAATTGTTTGTTTGTTCTAAAAACATAGAGCTGAACCCTTCTCGAAATATGTAACTGTTACTCCAAATATATAGAACTTGTACTCCTAAGAATTGCAACAATTGTAGAGAATAAGCGATTACAAAGTTTGCTCTGAATTCCAAAATGGCGGCCAGGTGACCATATTGGCCTAATATTCGCGAACTAAATTAAGTATAAAAATTGATTTCACACAATTAGATCCTAACGTGCACGGTGCTTTGTGAAAACTAGTGATAACAAAAAATGTGTACGACCGACTGACCACCTGAAAAGGGCTGCAATTTTATATATGTATGTCGATAATTCCCATACTTACAAGCACTCCAAAAATGTTGTTGTGCCTTACGATTACGTTTTTGTTATCAGTGCACTGTGCGGTACATTTGTGCACAACTCTAGGGATGTTCTAGTCTTTGTTACGTGGGACCTCTATAATCGCAGTTCCCTTAGAGTTATCGCCCTTGCGAACTTTCGTTTTCCTGTCGTTCACAGGCATGGTTCTTGTCAGGAAGATTTTCTACTATCATTTCGTTACATGACATTGTGTGCTACTGCGACCATAGAGTAAGTGAATACAATGAATGAAGATACCTTTGTTTCATCATAAACATTTCATGACATTGATTTCTGTGACATTTCATAAACATTGCGATATCACATCATATAATGTTCCTTGGTTATTGTAAGACATTGTTGTGAGATATACTGCCAAATGGCATTCAAATATTCCGGTACTTATTTTAACATCGTCCCTTTGTTGTTACAGTTTTTTACCCTCTCTCGAGGATTGGCGACATTAAAGATTATACAAAAAAAATACACGTCTTTTGGAGTTACAGTAAAAAATCTATGAACGTGATTTTCCACAATCATAAACAGTTGGCCACACAACGACACGCCAGTCGTCATGGACACCACATTCACGCCAAGGTTAACCATGAACACACAAGAAGGTATGCCTAGAAGTCGAAACATAATGCCCAATGCATTAGAACTTTATGAAAAAACAGTGTTGTCCTACACTCAAGAACTCTCACTGATTAATCAACCAATAGACCAATGTGTGAGACGAGACATTCAGGATGAAATTTCACTTCTCGACACAAATGCTGATATTGGAAATTTACATGAACAATATGATTCATTATCAAATTAATTTTCTCCGTACCTAGGCAGAACTAGGTGCAAGGAGAGCGAGCGAGAGGCAGCGTCCAATAAACTTGTACGAGCCTCACTGAGATGTAAGGTTGAAGCGGCGCTGCGAGAAATACGACATAGAGAGTATGATCTGTTAGACTCTATGTCTACACACAGTCCGAACACCCCTCAGGGTAATGTTTGGCGTCAAAATTTGGGGGGAGCCAGTGCCAGACCACCCCTCGACACACCTAACTATCTTCAGTCTCGTGAGAACAGGTCGTACCATGGTAGTAAGAGTGTGTTTAGCGTGAATCAGCGACTCGACACTGGGTCTAATCATACTCAACTTCACGACAAGGTCTCCTGCTATTCTGATGAAAGCTCCCAATCTATCCTGTTGAAACCTCGTGCAAATGCTGAAAAGGCCAAATCCAGACTTAAGTTTGCTAAACAGGAGGCGGTGTTGAGACTGAGACAGGCGGACCTACATGCCGATATAACAATGCTGGCATCAGAGCGTGATGTAGGGGAGGCGGAGGCAGAACGCAGTGACATGCGAGAGGTTTTAATAAACTCGAGCAACCAGAGCACCAGCGCTTACAGTGCATCACATCCTTCCCACACACCAGCTTTGAATCCTCGGGCAGATACTCAACTTGTAGATCCACAACAAGGTCAAGCCAATTGCCACTCCGAATTTACCATAGGTAGCAGTATACAGTAGAAATCGCCCGACTCTGATAAACAAGGCACATGTCGAGAAAATGTAAACACAGCGGATTTACCCTTCACAACACATGTATACATGTATATATATTTGTAAACTGCATTACATTTATATACATATACAGTACTGAGAAGTGCATAAATCTCTTTTTTCTATGTATGTCACTTGTGTGAAAACCATGGTTACCAAATCAAAAATTACCAAAAATGCCAAAATATGCTATTTTTGACCCAAAATTTGACCCCCGCAACTAGTAATTTTTTCCTAAGTTCTGTCTGAAATTAAAGATTACTTACCTGGTTGCAGAGGTCCAAGTAAAGTTGTAAAACTTGATTTTTTTGCAATGTTGCGTCGTGTGCTGTTGTCAAAATTTTACCTCCTGTAAAGCTAGCTTTTCATATGTAGGCACCCTTTCGGATTACGGCCAAAATTTTAGCCTCGAACCAAAATAAATCTTCTATTTTTTTTTACAAATGTGAAACTCACATAGCCCACTTCATCATGCTTATACCAATTTTAGTACAGTTTTATTTTTATATTTTTTTTACATATCATTATACAGGAGCTAGCCATTCAACAAAAAATTCATCCATGGCCACAACTCTCTACTGTATTCTACTACCATAGGTGCATCACATCCTCCCCACATACCTGTTTTTGAACCCTCGGGCAGATACTCAACTTTCAGATGCTCGCCCACAACAAGACCAAGTCAACTTCTGCTCTGCATTTACAAAGCTTATGTTGAAAAAGGACCTGCTATTGTCAAGATTGTCCACATTCAACGACAAGACTGAATTCTTTGCTGTTTGGAAGACTACCTTCAAAGGTGTGATGTCAGACTTGGAGGTCTCTGCCTCGGAGGAGGTGGACTTACTGATAAAGTGGTTGGGTACGGAATCTTCCAAACATGCGGTTAGCATCAGAGCTGCAAACCCCAACAATCCTGAACGAGGACTATACAGGATTTGGGAGAGACTTGAGGATAGGTACGCTAGTCCAGAAATCGTCGAGGCATCCCTAAAGAACAAACTTGCAAATTTTCCCAAACTTACAAACAAAGACCCGCAAAAACTATACGATCTCAGTGACATTGTTTCCGAGATCGATTCAATCAAGACAGACGTCAGGTTCCAATGCCTTCTCGCCTACCATGACACTTCATCTGGTGTGATTCCCATTGCTAATAAATTGCCGCATGCGATAAAAGAAAAAATGGACAAGCGAAGTAGTTAAATACAAAAAACGCTCTGGTGCCTTGTACCGCCCATTCTCTGTGATTTCTGACTTTCTTAGGGAAATAGCGAAAATAAAAAAATGATCATAGTTTCTTGTATGACGCCCTTAATGCTCAAACTCGCAAGGAAGTCCCAACTCGCCAATCAGGGAATCAAAGGCAACACGTGTCATCGATGAAGACGGAAGTGGAAAAACGTCTTGATTTCGAACCTCAAATACGTCACCATTGCCCTCTCCACAACACTGACCATGCCCTCAACAAATGTCGCGCCTTCCGCACGAAAACTATTGCCGAACGAAGAACACTTTTGCTAGCGAATGGCATTTGCTTTAGATATTGTGGCCCTACTAAACACTTGGCGAAGTACTGTGAGGAAAACGTGACTTGTGATATTTGTAAAAGTAAGAAACACCCTACCGCCCTCCACATCGACAAAAGAACATGGCGGTCCCCTGGAACGCATCACGAAGGGGGGTTCGAGAATGAGGCCTCTGTAACGGACGATCGAGAGTCAGGAGTCACCTCTATGTGCACCCAGGTTTGTGGTAAGGGAACCAACGGAAAGTCATGTGAAAAGATAATTCTAGTCAAGGTATACCCTCAAGGTTACCCTCAGAGGTCACTGCAGTCTTACGCAATCATAGACGACCAGAGTAATCGTTCCCTGGCTAGACCTAGGTTCTTCGACCATTTTGACGAACATGGGGACATGGTTGAGTATGTTCTCTCATCATGTGCTGGTTACACCACTGCCTTTGGCAGGAGAGCTTCTGGCTACACCATCGAGGCACTGGACAATTCCATCAGATTGTCGCTTCCAACCTTAATAGAATGTAATCAGATTCCAGACGTACGCGAAGAGATCCCAACGTATGAGTCAGCAGTGCACTATCACCATCTCCAAGAGATAGCCGGAAACATTCCCCCCAACGATCCAGACTCTAGTATCCTCCTGTTGATAGGACGAGATTTATCGGCCGCACATCATGTACTGGATCAAAGAATCGGGCCCCATAATATGCTCCTTATGTCCAGCGACTAAGTCTGGGCTGGGTAGTAATTGGCGAGGTGTGTTTAGGGAAAGTTCATCGGCCCGACGTTGTAAACGTCAACAAGACCTACACACTACAGGACGGTAGGACCTCGTTATTTACACCATGTCCTAACAGCTTTGAACTCGATACTGATCCCGACACATGTCATTCGGTTTTCCAAAGGACAAGAGGTGATGGAAAAATTGCAACGTCCATTGAAGACAAGGAATTCTTGCGGATAATGCACTCAGAGTTCCAAAGGAACACGGATGGAAACTGGATTGCCCCCTGCCTTTCCGGACTGTACGACCTAGACTACCCAATAACAAGTGTCAAGCGATGAGACGATCCGATGCACTTGACGCCAGCCTACACAGAGACCTGCGTAAAAGACAGCACATGGTCACCTTCATGAAGAAGGTTTTGGACAATGAACACGCTGAGATAGCCCCAGCCTTATCAGACGACGAGGAATGCTGGTACTTACCATTATTCGGCGTCTATAACACCAACAAACCTGACCAAATACGAGGCGTCTTCGACTCGTCGGCCAAACACCATGGTGTCTCGTTGAACAGTGTTCTCCTTTCCGGACCTGATCTCACAAACAACCTCCTTGGAGTCCTCCTTCACTTTAGAAAGGAGGCCGTAGCTATCACAGCCGACATCCAGCAGATGTTTTATTGTTTTCGAGTCAAACAAGAGCATAGGAACTTTTTAAGATTCCTTAGGTACAAAGATAATGACCCAGACAAGGAACTGATTGACTACCTGCATGACGGTCCATATTTTTGGGAATAGTCCCTCGCCGTCGGTGGCTACCTTCGGGCTCAGGAAGGCTGTTGAAACCGCCGATACCGATGTTAGAGAATTTGTTGGACGCGACTTTTATGTTGACAACGGGATAACATCGTGCGCAGAGGAATCAGAGGCTATCAACCTTATGGAAAAGACCAAGAAATCCCTCCTAGAGGGTGGTAACATGAGGCTCCATAAAATTGCTTCCAACAGTGAGGTCGTACTGAATGCGTTCGAACCCATTGACTTAGCAAAGAACATCAAGGACCTTCACCTCAACACTGATACCCCTCCATTACAGAGAAGTCTGGGGCTCAACTGGAACATCATGTCAGACACCTTCACCTTCAAAACAGCTGCGGGCATCAACGATAAACCATACACGAGACGTTGGGTATTGTCTGTGGTAAACAGTCTTTTCGATCCCATTGGATTTGTCGCCCCTGTTGTGATTAAAGGCAAACTACTCTTACGAAATCTAATGTCCAACTCCTTGGATTGGGACGAACCCCTACCTACAGACCGACAAGCTGAGTGTGACGTATGGAGAGAATCCCTCTTCCTATTGGAAAGCGCCCACATTCCGCGACCGTATACGGATCTACTCTCTACAGAGGTCGTGAGAAAAGAAATCCTCATATTTTCTGATGCATCAAAGGAAGCCATTGAAGCAGTTTCGTATGTGAAAATATTTGAAGCAAGTGGAAAACATCACATTGGATTTCTACTCGGAAAGGCCAATGTGTTGTCTACATTCATGGCCGATGTCACCGCTATTGTAAACGCACGACCCATCGTGCCAGTCTCTCATAAGAAGACATTTTCCTGAGTCAGTCCTCCACCAGGGAAGACAAATCACAGAAGGCGCCGTAAGAACGGCAGGTTCTGGATCATCGGTGGGAAACGGCTTGTGTCCTCCCTCATACATAGCTGTGTTCAATGTAGAAGGCTTCGAGGTCAAGTGGAGTGCCAAAAGATGTCTGACTTGCCTATTGACAGGTTGAAACCCAACCCACCTTTTACATACGTGGGAGTCGACATCTTTGGACCCTGGTCGATCGTCACCCGCAAAACCAGGGAAGGGTCCGCCCAAAACAAACGATGTGCTATACTGTTCACTTGTTTGGTCACCCGGGCTATCCACATTGAGGTGGTTGAGGAACTCAGCAGTGCGTGATTTATCAACGCTTTAAGGAGATTTACAGCGATCAGGGGCAGTGTTAAATTATTCCGCTCAGACCGGGGAACCAATTTTGGTGGAGCTGTCAACCTGTTGGAGATCGACACAATCAACGTGGAGGATGGATCAGTAAAGAATTTCCTATACAACCATGGAACCACTTGGAAATTTAATACTCCCCACTCCTCTTACATGGGAGGAGTATCGGAACGCATGATAGATGTTTCGCGGAGGATTCTGGGCTTGCTGGTCATGTCGCGGAAGAATTTGACCCACGAGGTGTTGTCTACATTCATTGCCGAAGTCACCGCTATTTTTAACGCACGACCCATCGTGCCAGTTTCTACCGATCCTGATGTGCCTGGGATACGATCACCTTCCGTCTTACTGACACAAAAAACAGATCCAGTTCCGGATAATTTTGAGCATTTGGACCTTAAGGACATGTATGTTTCGCAGTGGAAGAATGTCCAGGTGCTTGCCAACGATTTTTGGAGACGTTGGAGACATGAGTACCTCCACACTCTTCAGAAGAGTGAGAAATGGAATGATAACCGTCCCAACTCCAAGAAAGGAGACATTGTCTTACTCATGGACTCCCATGTCGCCAGAAACAACTGGCCACTAGGAGTTGTGGAGCTTGCGTTCGCCAGCGATGACTCACGTGTGAGAAAGACGCAGATTCGTGTTTCTAGGTACGGAAAACTGACAAGGTTCCTGAGGCCCAACTCTGAGCTCCTCCTCCTGGTCTCTGAGTGATTCCTAGTGTTAGAGCTGACTCTCAATAACCTTAACGCAATGTTTACTTATCGTTTCAAAGAATTTTAGTGACATTGAATTTTTCATGTTTATTGTTGCGATTTCTAGTCGAAATCTATATGTGTAGATCTATAGTGATTTTTCTGGTCAAATCAGAAGGGAAGTGTTGTGCCCTACTATTACGGTTTTTTTTCAATGCACTGTGCGGTACATTTGTGCACAACTCTAGTGATGTTCTGGTCTTTGTTACGTGGGACCTCTATAATCGCAGTACCTTTAGAGTTATCGCCCTTGCGAACTTTTGTTTTCCTGCCGTTCACAGACATGGTTCTTCTCGGGAAGATTTTCTACTATCATTTCGTTACATGACATTGTGTGCTACTGCCACCATAGAGTAAGTGATTACAATGATTGAAGATACCTTTGTTTCATCATAAACATTTCATGACATTGATTTCTGTGACATTTCATAAACATTGCGATATCACATCACATAATGTTCCTTGGTTATTGTGAGACATTGTTGTGAGATATACTGCCAAATGGCATTCAAATGTTCCGGTACTAATTTTAACATCGTCCTTTTTTTACAGTTTTTACCCTCCCTGGAGGATTGGCGACATTAAAGATTATACAAAAACCAACACGTCTTTTGGAGTTGTTACAAATGTAAAGGAATCTATCGTTATGCCGTGTTCAAATCTTAACTGGTCATATAAACCTTTGGTGTGTGATATTCAACAGAAATATGATATGAATATTTTCTTGTTCTTAAAGGGCGACAAGAAAACACTAAGGAACAAAAGACCTGTAGGTTTTACCAGTGTAATAAGTATATAGTAAAATAATGGACAAAATTATAAGAATAAAAACATGGAACACTTGGAGAGAAATGATAAGAACTGGAGACAACCAGAATGATTTTTTATAATCGTTAACTTGGCAATAATTAACTTATTCACTGTCGGGAACGTCCTTGCAACAGCCAATATCATATTAGGATGGGTACCTAGGGAGACACCGCCTGAAACAGAAAGTAGATAGTAACGAAGGAGATAGGATTGACAGGAAACGAGAAAGATCCTTAGTGTTTAAATGGGCGTCTCTTCCATGTCCGATTATGCAGGGGTGGGGGCACATTAGACGTCCCTTACGACCAAGTGGGATACAGCAGGCCTTTTCTTTCCTTGAACCTTTCTTGGTTGAAATCAAACTTCTGGATTTTTGTTTTATATTTGTGAGATTTTATGGAAAGTGATATTTCTAATTTTGGGTTAATATATGTTCTACGACAAACATCAGACATAGCAGGTCCTTAGAGAAAACTGGAAGAGGAAAATTACAAATTGGCTGTTGATTCCTGTAAATTTCATATCAAATACGAGCACGCTGTCTAATTTCCCTCAGGAGAAAGATTATGTAGCCCATAACACAGTAATAAATAAAATAATATTTCCTTGAAGTAGTCGATGTGTCTCGTATCTCGCCACTGAGGAAATGTTTATTATATAGCGGAACTCTTACTTCATGTAATGTCCAGTGTTTCAATTGACGTCTGGAGATTCTCGCGGCATCTTTTATTTTGAACAATTCGCAGGACTCAATTTCATCCGAAGCAAATAAAGTGAAATATTGATTAACACAAATATTTTCTTGTTATTTAAACATAAAACATAAGTCATCGCCGATTTTCGTTTTACCCATGTTTTGACTGCCATTGGTTTAACATCCAGGCGACAGACGGCATCACATGAAGACGGCTGCCTTGGGAAGACGACCCCAAAGGAAAGAGTACGCAAAAGAAACAAAAAGGATCCAATGTGTTAACTACATTGCGAAGTAATGATATCGGGCGTTGTGTCGTGTTACCGCATTCAGGTCATGACCTTTAAATGAAATTACACTTAATGGGCATTCGAGTTTAGGTTAGTTGGTTTTTCATGGTTTAACATCCCATCAACAGCCTAAGTCAACTAAGTACGTGTCTAAATGTGTTGTGTGTGAAAACCACTGTACACTGAAGCGGGGTTGTAATTGCAAACACACAAACAATGCAATCTGCAAAAATGCGCAGCATCCTAACGTTTAGAAACCACACTAATGCTCCGTCGAAAATAACATCTGTGTTGAATTGTATGTAAGGAGTGTATGCTTCGTCGTAAAAGATTAACACATTGATCAATTCATTTCTGCGAAATTAAAAAATAGATATATCTTGCGTAGAAAAGTTGCATTAATATTTGCATGGATTGTGATGATTCCGACAATTAATGTCTAAAATGTCAGCATAAAGCACTGAAACAACATGGCCACGTGTAGCTTCAAGTAATTGAGGTAATAACATTTTTCAAGAAAATGATTGAACCATGAATCCTCCTGCACTATGTGTTAAAGATAACGTAATGTCGTACTACAAAGAGATAACCATACAAGAAAGTGAGTTAACTATCACAAAAACATTATTGCTGGAAGTTTCCAAAATAAAAGAAGGATTTCCACTCCTTATGCAAACATGTCTACGTACTTAAACTAGTGAATTGGTCGGCTAGTATCTGTTTCCCGTCGCGTTGGTTGATAAAGTCGCTGCAGTGTAATTATTTCTATATTAGTTCTGCCATTCACATGTAGCGGATTTTATTTTCTCCTGTGTATAATTATCTAGTCTGTTGTTTCTGTATCTTCACGAGGTTTTATCGTTCAGTAGATTAATGCCTTCAAAGCAAGCTGACGTTCTGGGAAAAGTATTTTGTCAACACGAAGCTTGAATTGGTAAGTGCTTTAATACAGCGTATGGTACATTTAAAGTATCGGAAGGAATGCTATTTAGATAGTGGTGTGGTAATTATCACAAATCGATAATCAAAACATGATAGAAAAATGCAATATTTATATCATACATCACAAAAAAGTACGAATATCCTGATCCGGGGAACAGCATACCTGCAGCTGATAATGGCTGAATCATTGCCATAACCTCCCCAATAACAAATTCCTCTTTGGAATTTTTAGAGTCAACCATATCAAATACTAAATTTGTAATTTTGTACATGTACAAAGGATATTTAAACTGCTTTGACTGTAGAATTCCACATCTTCTAGACGTCCGTAAAAATTCACATAATCAAGGGTTCTGCAGCTCAATTAAAATATATCTGGTACTGAAGAGAGATTATACAATTGTAAGTCATATCATTGCAATAAATAAAATCGTATTTTTCTGGAGTGCGCAATACGTCTCGTATCTTTTAACACTGACAATATTTATTACGTCTATGAACTCTTATATAATGCAATGTACAATACTTGCATTTCACGACGGTAAACACCTTTGACATTGAAGATTTCGTTTGACATATTTTATCATTGTTGTAAAATAGATAAAGTTGATTTTTAAAGACATGTTTACGCACATATTTTTGGTTCGGCAAAATTGTGTATATTTCTTTAAAGCAGCTCATAATTCAAAAATTGCATTTGGCAATATATTACAATTCTGATGTATGAATATCTAAAATCTAAACAAGTCGAACGACATTAAGGCACCACATCTGTCTTTTTATTTGTGCCTATGTTACCAATCTTCTGCTGTATTGTGTTTGGTACAATCGGCTCATTACGGACTCTTTACAAAGATATTTTTCAGCTGACCTCATTGCAAACTAGGGACTTTCAATAGAATGTTTATTTGTGTTGCTTAATATTGTGTATTGTAACTGATTTTTTCGCCAATTTTTGTTTGACTTTCTTAACCATTACTCTTTCTGTACATCCGCCTGTGACAGCTGGCCAGATATACATCAAAATGCTTCGGCAGACTCTCAACCAAGACGAGGTATGGTAGTGGTATCACCTTTCTATAGGTGTCAAGGTCTCGCTCCTGAGGTCACAAG